TATATATATATACTGTTTTCCAGGTATCTGGTCTGCTGATATCACATTCACCCCATTTTCCCCTCTGGCGGTGGGCGGATGTTGCACAGAGCAACACCACACAATGATGTGACAATACTCTCTGCAGTGTTCTTCTGTTAGCCTGTCCTGGGATCACAGAACGTGGGTTAAATGATGCTGGACATCATTCAACCCAGACAAAGAGCTGCAACACATCACTAGATGGCTGAGTTTGCAGGGGAAGGCACCAGAGAATGGGTAGAAATAGCAACTGGAGCTGCTTTTTAAAAAAAAAAACCTGGTGGGGACTGAAAATGTGTGGGGTTGGGCTTTAAGTGGAAGCAGGATGTCAATGGGGGTACCAAGAGGCAGCTTTTTATGCTATTCGCTCCATCCAAGAGAACTCACAAGAACTCCAAAATCCAGGATGGCCTATTATGTAAGTGTTGATGAGGGGGAGTTACGTCATTGGGGCCCGGTCCATCAAGCAATTGAAGATTCTGATCCCGGAAGAGGAATGGGAGAAGATGTCAGCACTGATGACCGCAGGGAGCAGCACTGGAGAGGATTGCTACTGCAGGTAATTCTGCTATAATGGGCTCTTATACTGTGCATACTAGCACATTATATCAAACAGCTCCTGGGGCCCATTTCTTTTTTAATATCAACAGCTTACTTCCGCTTTGAATATCTAAGACCAAATATTTTTTAAATCTTTGGGGGATTCATTCTCTCTATTTGTTTTGTTGACCATTGTCATGAGGACAAAGTGATGTGAGATGCAAAATTTCAGTTGTCACCACTTATAGAGACATCAGAGGTCTATTAGACCCCTAGTGTCACCTAGTGACCCCAAAAGAAGCTGATGAAGCTCATGTAATGCACATTACGTCTGCATTCAGAGATCAGAGGGGAGATAAGCAGGTGGATGTGTGCCGTTCTCCCTCAGTTCAGAGAGCCAACCCACCGGTCTCGGGCCTGCCCGAGGGACAGCCGAGCCCAGGATAGCCGGCAGCAGGGGGGATACAAACTTGCACATAACATAGAAATGATCTAGTGGCTCTATACTTTAAAATACTGGCAGTTTCCTCCTTGTGCAAACGCAGGGTAGAGCGGGAAAGGACGTTTAAAATCGCCCACCCGCATTCAAGAGTGACCTGTCCAGCTATTTAAAAGGAGAACTATGGGGTTAAGGCTTTTCCCCATAGTTCTCCTTAGGGTAACGGGAGGACACAAACTAGCGTCCTTCCGTCACCGCAAACTACAGCTCTAGGTATACTGAGACGCCGCAGTATACCGCGAGCTGCTGCTCGCGGTATACTGAGACGCCGCAGCTGAAGCGGATCCCGACAATTGTGCCGGGATCCGCCCAGCTGCGTGACTGACAGCTGGCTCTGCCTATCTAGAGGCAGAGCCAGCTGTACCCGCCCCCTCCCCCGTCCGTTCAGCCAGTCAGCGCTGGAGGATCGGGGGGAATCCAGCCCCTCCCCTGTCACGGGCAGAGAGCCGGGACAGGATCGAGAGGTGAGCGAACGCCGGTATGTGTTCGCTCACTTCCCGATCTACTGAGCCGACCTGTGACAGTCTCATTGTCACAGGTCGGCTAGAACTATGAGGTGAGTGAAAAGCACTCGCCTCATAGTTCTCCTTTAATTACAATGGCTGGATAGGAACAGGTTAAAGTGACACTAAACTCAGGAGTTAAATCTTACAAATGCAAGTACCCTATTAACAAAAATGTAGCTTATTTGTGTATCACACCGTAGGCAACACTCCAAGCTTACTCCTGTGATCAACTACAATCTCAAGTTTAGTTAGTTAAGTTGCATTGAGATTGTAGTCCATCATGGGAGTGATCTTGGAGCGGTGACTACTTTACAACACACACAGGGACCATGGGGAACAAAAGTAGCCACCCTCCAGAAGGAAGGACAGTGTCAGCACCAATTCAGAGATGATTTGAGGATCTACAGCCACGTGATACACAAATAAGATACATTTTTGTTAATAGTTAGGGTACTTGAATGCATCTTTAATATTTAACTCCTCAGTTTAGCATCACTTTAAATGTAGGCACTTTTTGAGACTGTATTGTCTACATAAGCAGGATCTATTTTCTTTTTGTACAGTATTTTTTTTGTAAATTCATGTTGTATTTCATTGATTTTTATATTTTAAAATAAATATTAGTGTTATAGTTGCTTCTGTGCACAATTATAGACAGAAACAGATTGCCTATTACAGCGGCGTGCTCATGAATTCCTCAATTGAGAGAAATTTATGATGTATGACAATGTCACCTGCAACTTTCATTGCCAAAATAGACCAGAGAAGCCGATTTATTGTCTGTAAAAGGTAATGGCCATCATAACCGAGAGTGATATCTCATGCTTTTCGCTGCATTCAAGCTGCAAAGTGTGACGGGAGAAGGAACAGGTTAATGTATTATTTCAGGGAAAAGCCAGTGCTGTGTGACCTCTTAAATAAGTCAAATGAATTTAGGATCTATATCTTCCGCGCACATACTGCTGGAATTACACGGAACTGAAAATGACATTTTTCACTGCCCCCTAAAAAATGAACCCCAAACTGTAATGAACCCCTGTTCCCAGTGGGAGACACGACAATTAATTACAGACGTCTGAACAAACATATTTCAATGTAATGATTATCTATAATTTGAAACAAACACAGTTGTTTATTGATTGCCATTGTTTCTTGATCATGCTGTCAAATATCATTGCTTTTTAATGTTTTTTTGTTTTCTTCTCTAGGATCAATTCTGTTTATGGGAAAGGTGACAAATCCAGATGTGAGCGATGCAAGAGGTCGAGATGTAGAATCATTATAAATAAAATAAAGATTTTTTTAGAGCCGTTCTCAGCATCCAGCCAATCAAACAACGTCAGCTATTTTCTTGCCGTTTACATTGGATATATCTTCCGGGAACTGCCGTGGATGGTGAAGAGACTGTAGCTTGACATAATAATAATAATCATCATCATACTACTACTACTAATAATTATTATTAACTTTAAAAATAAAAGTGACTTGTATTTGCCTCATCAGAAATAAATGGTTGGTACCATCGTTCTATCCTTGAACATGCTGTGTGTCTCTTGGAACCCTGCAGTGTTCTTTCTGACGATCCATGGTTCACAGACATTATATTTGCATATACGGTGTATGATATCATCGGCACCTGGTCTCCATTAAAAAAGCACGATCAACTATGATTCACATAGATTCTCCAGTCTACTGGAAGCTCAGTCTGTGTAGTAATGATAATAACTGATGATCGGATGCCTTCTTTAGGGCTTGTTCACACCAGCAGACGCGCCTCTACAGTGTTGATGCGCTTGATCGATCCGTATCACAGTTTCTTTTTTTGTTAGAACTTTATTGAGATGTCACTGCGTTGCACTTAAAAAAAGTAATGCATGCCGTATTGCTTTTTAAGAACGCAGAGGTGTGAAACTGTCACCACTCATGGCAAGGCAAATTGCCTTGTCATGCGTTCTGGCTGCGCTGAAAAAAAAATGGCCAGTACAGCCTGAACGCAGGTGGTGTGAAGAAGACCTTACATATTTACACCTGTGCGTTGTGGTGGGCTTCAGCGCAGGTGAATCTTCACTGTATATGTGTGTCGGGTGCAATTTAAAATGAATGGCAATGCACTACAATGTACATATACCTGTGAATTAACATGTGATAATGCATATATGTAATTGTGCCTTAAGGTACTAGATGAGAAAGACCGGCTCCAACTAGAGCATGAGGATGCTGATATTCTAGGGCAGGCATGTCAAGCTCAAATAAAACAATGGGCCAAATTTAGAGGCCTAATTAATCAAGGGGGACGTATTAAAACAATACTGTAATGTGCGCCTTACTGTAATCCATGGTTGTTTCCCTTCTCTTTGCTGCTCTTCCTTTTAAATCCTCATGTCTTCTCATGCTGGGGGAGTACTTCCCTTTGCAGCAGACTGCCTTGTCTCAGGAATGGATACATGGTGTCTGTGTGTAGGTTCACAACCTGAGCCAGCACTACAGGAAGAGGCACTCAGCTGCAAAGGGAAGTTCTTCCCAAGCATGAGAACACATGTGCATTTAAAAGAGTAGCAAAGAGAAGGGAAACAACCATGGATTACAGTATTGGTTTATGTTAAAAACTTGCGGGTTTAATGTCACTTTAAGGTGCCCATACACTTTACAACCCTCGCAAGACTTTAGTCTTGCGAGGGTTGTAAAGTACTTAAAAAACGTACGATCTGCCCATCTTGGACAGGCAGATCGTACTTGCAATCATCGCAAGCCCGCCCCGCTGAGGGGAGGGCTTCTGATGACTGCAATGCTGAATGGGCAGTGTGCGCGTGCACACACCGGCCCGTTCGGCAGTTATCTCTCGATCATGCCAAAAACCAGCCGAAAATCGTACGATTCTCGGCTGGTTTTCCAACATGCTCGAAATACAAAAGTCGTGCGACCGTACAGTAGGAACGGTCGCGCGCCTTCCATACACTGCACGATTATCGTACGATCGCGGGATTTTCCGCGATTCTCGTACGAGAATCGTGCAGTGTATGGGCACCTTTACAATTATCTGGAGATTTTTGTCTGCGATCGCGTTTTTGTCCAAAAATCTGCCAGTTGATGGGAAGTGTACAACCTCAATTACTGTACATCTGGCAGATTTTTGTCTTTCAAGCAAGTTAGAAAACTTTTGTCTAGTTAAACGAAAATTGACAGGTTAGTGGCGTTGTTGTACAACACAAATCTCAAGATGAAAACTGCACATACTAAAACGAAAATGTGTTCTTTCGATCGATGAAAATCGGCCAGTTAGTGGTGCCGACGAACATTAATTGCGAACTACATTGGTCTGTGCATGATGGGCTGTTTGTACGAAAATTGAACGAGGGTGAGATATCTGGACAACAAAAGTTGTACAATGGTTGCAAGGTGTATGGCCACCTTTATGGCTTGTTCACACCAAGTGTGGAGCAGATGCAGAGCACAGCAGTTACAGAACGCATCAAAAATGCATCCAATGTATTCCAATGGTATTTTGGGCTCTAGTTCACAATACAGCGTTCAGTTCCAGAGCAGGTGGAAAAACTGAAGCAGAACGTGATGGTTGAGCCTGGGGTAGGTATACAATGGTTGCAAGGTGTATGGCCACCTTTATGGCTTGTTCACACCAAGTGTGGAGCAGATGCAGAGCACAGCAGTTACAGAACGCATCAAAAATGCATCCAATGTATTCCAATGGTATTTTGGGCTCTAGTTCACAATACAGCGTTCAGTTCCAGAGCAGGTGGAAAAACTGCAGCATGCCCTATTTTTTCTGCTCTGGAACGCACCACAATGCATGCAAACAAACGTTTAAAAAACGTCCCGAAACGCGTCAAAATGTACTGCACTGCATATGCAGAAACTCATGCAGATCTGGCCCGGCTTTGTTGGTGTGAACAAGCCCTAAATCTGCCCATACACCTTACAATTATCTGCAGATTTTCTGTGGTCAGATGGAAAAGGATTCCTCCATCTGCACCTTACTGTGTGGATGGAGTGATCTCCACCTGGGCCAATCTGTTGCACTTTTTCCATCTGACCACAGAAAATCTGCAGATAATTGTAAAGGTCCCCATACACCTTGTGATTATCGTACGATAATCGCGGGAAACCCCGCGATGGTACGATAATGGCAAGGTGTATGGAAGGCGTGCAACCGTTTCTACTGTACGGTCACACGTCTTTTGTCGAAGGAGCACGCTAGAAAACCTGTGATCTGATGAAGTGATCTGATTTTCAAATGTCAACTGAACAAGCTGAAGAGAGAAGTTGATTGGTTATTATGCATGGCTGCTCCAGATTCTGTCTGCTCCAGCTTTAGTAGCTACCGCTCCAAGCTCACTCCCATCCGTGATGGACTACAATCTCATTACAAATGAGTAAACTAAATGGGAGAGTGTAGTCCATCCCGGAGTGATCTTGGAGAGGTGACTACTTTATAACACACACAGGGAGCATGGGGAATAAAAGTAGAAGGAAGGACAGTGTCGGCACCAATTGAATCTACAGCTGAGTCAGTGGCGTAACAATCATCCCAGGCGGTCGCTATGGGGCCCAGGGCACAGTGGGGCCCGGCCATAAAGTAGGTATTACACTAACAGATTCTCAACTGAATAGGTGCAGAAGGGGAGCCGATACCATGGCCGACTCAAACCCAATTTTCTTTTTTTTGAGGATGTTCAGCTTTAAAGGAGAACTATGAGGTGAGTGATTTCCACTCACTCGACACATTTATGAGGTTGCACAGCTTCATCATGGCTTGTACTGCAGTCCGCTTTGATCAACAGGACTGGGAGGTATAGGCAGTTTTTTTTTTCTGTGTACGCTGCACAGCGCATGCTGGCATGTCAAGAATAGAGCCGGGATGATGTAAGTTCTGTGCCCATGGGGAGGAGTTACATCTTCAGTGGTTGCCCAGTGGCCGAGGAGAAGTGCTGTGGGACCTGGAGAGAGCATCGAAGGAAATGGTGGCGGTGACTATAGGAGCGGCTGACCTGCCGTCACTGGAGGAGGCCACGCTGACAGGTAGAGCCACCCATCACAATGCAAATTTTGTTCCGCATTAATTACAGAAAAAAAGTTAGGGTACTTTGGAACTTAAAGAAGAACTCCAAGCAAAAATTGTCTTAACCGTTGCAGTTGGGGTACCCCCACACTCATTTTGTCTAGGTGCCAAAATATCAAAGTTATTCTCACCCGTCGGAACCTCCGACCCGAATGGCTTTTAGACCGGTCCTTCCAGCCTCTCCACCTCTGTTCCATTGGTCTCAGGTTCAGTGAGTCATCACGTCCAATACACTATGTATCAGATGTGAGGACACTGAGGGACATACCATCGCTGCAGAGGAGGACAAAGGCTGGAGGGAGCGCTCTAGCCCATCCCGCCTCAACCTAACCGCTCAACCATCACGTTCTCAGACAATTCATCCCCACACGGCTACCTCCTCATGTATCACTTCCCCCTCCCTCTTAGACTGTAAGCCCTCAGGGGCAGGGCCCTCCTTACCATCTTGTCTTGATTTGTATTGTGATTGCAATGTCTTCCTTATATTGTAAAGCGCCGCGCAAACTGTTAGCGCTCTATAAATCCTGTATAATAATAATAATAATAGTGGGTGGCCCCACTGCAAGGGTTAAGAACATTCTGCTTTAACATTATAGCAAAAAGTGCCATTTACAATATTTAATTGTCAGAGAACGGGGCCAATCCTGCATTGTAGTGCCAAAGAGAGGTGATAAGAGCAAGGGGCATGGTAAGTAACACATCCCAGGCCTGGGGTAGGTATCCTTGGCATCCCAGCTGTTGTGGAACTACAAGTCGCATGAGACATTACAAGACATTGACTGTCACAGGCATGACGCCCACAGGCAGACGGATGATGGGATTTGTAGTTTAAAAACAGCTGGAGCACCAAGGTTGCCTTTCCATGTCATAGACATAATGAACATTTAACCCTTCCAGTGCTGGGGAAGGGGCACCCAGCTATACATGACCACAAATCTCAGCACTCCATGACTATACAGCAATGGAGAATGGCAACCAGCAATCATGGATTGCTGAGAATTGTAGTCCTTTATAGCAGGCTGCCATTGTCTATTGCTGTATAATCACAGATTATACAGCAATGGCGAATGGCAATGTTTGGGTTTCACCAGGGATGTGTTTGGATTTTACCAGGATGTCTGCTTATGATGGTCCACTGTTGCTGACACCATCAGGAAACTCACCAATTGCTGGAGCCATGCAGGGAGACAGGAAGTGGATGCAAAGAGGCTGCAGGAGATGAGTAGGACTGAGCAAAAAGATGCAAAACATGAAAAAGAGTTTTCATCAAATGCACTTAGCAATGGTTTAGTGTACAGTACATTGGTGTGGTAAATGGCACTCACTTCCAGTATACCCATTTATCACA